AGAGAGAGAGAGAGAGAGAGAGAGAGAGCGCTGAGGATAGATTTATTAGGGGGTTTCCCATTCAATTATGGAGACTGAGAAGTCCTCTGGTAGACCAACAGCAGGATGGAGAATCAGGGGATCTGACTGTGTGGTTCAGTCCATACCCAGGAAGTGGATGGTATAACTCCAAGCTCTAGGCAAAGGCCTGACAGCCCAGGGGTTGGGGCCATAGGGACCTTTGATGGAATTCTGACATCAAAGGTAAAATGAGGTGTCCTCAGAGGGAGGAGTGAGGAGGGGAAATTAATCTTCCTCCATCTTTTTGTTTTCTTTAGGCCTCCAGCTGATTAGTTGGTACTTGTCCACATTAAAAACAGATTTTTCACCACTTATTCCAACTCAGAGGCCAATCTGTGGAAACACCCACAAAAACACACCTGGGACACCCATCATTGCAATTGAAAACTAAACCACCTTAATCTAGTCCAAGATACCCAATTCAACCATCATAGGAGGTGAGATGAGACCTACAGGCATACTGAACGCTAACCACACAGAGTATTACTTTCTTCTATGCTTAGTCTGAAGTGGACTGGGGCAGTAGGAAGCAAATGGGACTAGGCTCAGAGAAACCTGTCCAAGTTGTGGTGCTTCAGTGGACTGGCCTTGAGAGTGTTAGCTGAACTCTTGACTTCTGTGGCCACATCATAAAAGAGAGCAAAGAAGACAGGCTGCTGCGAAGCATAAATGAAGTAAGGGCTGTGATAAAGTCATCACTAGCTCTGTGCCCAGCCCACCCACTCATTATAAATCCATCTTCCTTCTGCCCATAGATACATACGAACATGCGCACACACACGCAATGATTTTTTTTAAACTGGTAAGATGATTGAGAATTACTTAAAAATAATTAAAAGTTTAGACTATTTTAGAAAGAAGCCCAACAACTTCATCTTACACGTAGAGAAACTGGTTGAATTTGGTAACTTGTCTAGGATCAAATTACAACTCGGAGGATGGCCAGCGTCAGGTTCTGCCAGTTGATTGCTCTGTACCATTAGCAAGATGTACTATTATATAATCTAATACTCCTTTCCATATATCAATGACCACACATATGACTCATTCTTTGTCCTTTAGCTTTCTTCCCTCCCACAGGCAGGAGGAGGCAAAGCCAGGGATTAGGCACAGAAGAGAAATAAAAAAGTGATTGTTCTTAAGCAAATTTGGCATGAACTTTATTGATATTAGAAAGAAGACTGAATTCTTAGTGATGCAATCTCCTGTAGCATATGGGATAATAGTGTCTAAAGGCAGAACCCTGGTGACCCTGACAGTACAAATGCTTCATTTTTCTTGACTATAGTTGGATTTCTTTTTTTGGGTATTGGGGATCAAACTCCAGACCTTGCACTGCCAGGCCAGCACTGCCACTGAGCTGCATTCTTGGCCCTATAGCTGATTTTCTTTATGCATACCAAAAGAAAGAAAGAAAGAAAGAAAATGCAAAGAAAAAGCACCCAATTCTGTAAGATCTAAACTGACAGGCTTGTGCACTCATGACAGATGGGGTGTGGGTAATCACGTGTGTGATTTCTTTTCTTCCTATTTCACATTGTCAATATACCATTTGGGTCTTATTTACACTTTAAATTTTTCACAACAGAAAAACTATTTGATATTTACACATGTCTTATTTATTTCATTTAAGAGTATGGCCTCAATATGCATCCATTTTGCTATGAATGACTCTAGTTTCTCATTTTTTATGTCTCAGTAGTACTCCATTTTATAGAAAAGCCACATCATCTTTATCCAGTCTCCAACTGATGGGCAATTGGGCTGTTTCTAAGTTTTAGCTATTACACACTGTGCCACTGTAAATATGGGTGAGCATATTTCACTGTGGTATGATTCCTTTAATTCTTTTGGAAAGATACCCAGTAGAGGACATATGCTCACGAGGTCCTCTGTTATCTTGGATCAGAGAGTTTTAGAAAGCAGACCCAACACAAAGGTTTGTGTGCAGCTAAGTTCTTTTGGTAAGTGATTGCAGGGAACAGAAATGGGGGACTGATAGAAGGGAAACAGAGAAGGTGGGAGAGCCAGTCCAAGGATGTGTCATCAAATTGCTCACTGCTAGGTTTCACTCTGCCCGGAGCCTCTGTAGCATTCTCCAGCATATGTCTTAGAATGGTCTACTTACAGGATGGGAGAAGGGAGCATTATATGTGGGCACCACTAACCTTTCCCTTTCTGGGTTTGCTTATGCTGCAGAGTGGATGTTGAATGTCCCCCAAAGAAACGTGTGTTAAAGGCATGATCCAGAGAAGTATTGGAAGGTGTGGACACTTCAGGGAGTTATTCTAATGGAAGGTTATTAGGTCCTTGGGGGCACACACTTGTGGAGAACTGTGGGACCCTGGTCTTGTTCTCTTCCTCCCTTTTCCTTCCTGACTGTGGATATGAGGAGTTTGCTCTACCATGTGTTTCCCAGTTGCCATTTGATACCCTCTCAGAGGCCCAGATCAGTGGATTCACCCAGTCTTGGGCTGAAACCTCCACAACCATGAATCCAAATAGTTTTTTTTTTCTGTATACATTATTTATGAGGTGTGTCTGGAAAATATGGTTAATATTTTTAAAAATTATTACAGTAAAAGACACATTGTCATTTATCCCCCCTCAAAATACCCCTATTCATATAAAAATCAATGTCTGGTGACTTATTAAGGTTTTATTTATTTATTTTTTTTCCTCGTGAGCTTATTGGTACATTTTAGGTAGACAGTACAGTTACATTCATCATTGGGATCTTGTACCTTTACACGGCAGGTCTTGGTTCTCATTTTTCCCCTTGTCCTGCCCTCCTTTCACCCCTCCTCCCTTCCCTATTTACAAATAATTTATTTCCATTTTTTCATTTTCTCATTTTTTTTCCTTTTCCCTTATTACCTTTCCCCTACCCTTCCCATTTCCCCTACAAGGTTTTATGTTTTTTAATTCCTGGTCCTCCATAATTTTTTTCTTTTTACATAAATAATATTTGAATGCATTTTTGATTTTCACGTTTTACAGTACATCTCGCCTTACCATTAAATTTGTTACATAACCTTTTGTGCTCACGTGACCGTGAGCCATTGTCTTAGCTGATGGACTCCAGTCAGAACTTGGGATTTCAATGCCAAATGCTGCCTTCTGTTCTGGCAGAGTCATTGACTAGTTCTTCAGGCCTGTGGTGGTGGGAGTTCAGGAGCTGCCTCAAACGTTCAGACAGTCTTTCCTCCCTTTTTGCCCTTCTCACTCAGGTCATGCTGAAGAGCGATAGTCCTGTGCACACCGAGGAGCTCAGAGTTTTCCATTTTCTGGGGAGCAACATAGAACATGCAAGGCTTCCTAGCATTGCCAAGACTTGCTTCCATGGTCCAGCTTATTATTCTCTTCCCAGGAAGTCAGTAGATGGGAAGGAAAGAAGCTGAAAGAGAAAGCAACACTCCTTCTACTGTGCTGTGGAATGTCAAGTTGAGGATGAGCAGGAGGTATGCCGCATGGGCGAGTGGGAGGCAGTCCAGGCAGAGAGGATGGATAGAGAAGGGACAAACAGGGAGGATGGGAGCCACAGCAGCTCCAGTGCTGCACAGCACCAGTGCGGGGCTGCCTTTTTGGGAACTGTCTTGGCATCAGAGTTGCTCTTTGCCTCAGTTTCTTCACCTATAAAATGAGGATAATAATAGTGTATACTTCACAAGGTCATTGTAAGGATTGAATCAGTTAACATTTGTAAACTGCTTAAAACTGTCTCGTGAGTGGTGGGGGCCGTGTCAGTGTATGTGTTATGCACAAGCTGTGCTCTTTAATGGGTAGAGCAATTTCCTTACATATAATTTATGTGTTTTTTATTTTCCTTAGAATTTTTTTTTTCAGTTTGCAGAGAGAAAGGAATCTCACAACTTTGTACATTTAAATAGCATAATGGTTTGATTTCAGAAACAATCTCTATTATCCTGTCCTGGCCAAAAGCTCTTTGGCAGTTATTTTCTGTTGGGTTTATTTGACGTGATAAAAGGTTGGCTGGCCTCTGAGCACAGTTTCTCTTAGCCATTTTCCCCTCAGACCGGAAGATCAATGATGGCTGGCCATCACAGGGCCCTTGGTTGGTTCCATGTAACTTGCTGAAACGCTCTGTTTACTATGGAGGGAAACTACGCTTTAGGACCAAAGCTCTCACAATGTCCAGCTTCCTACCTCTGTGGACTCTGGGGGTTCTGGATAGGTGAGGATAGGGGAGAAGTGAAATCTGCCAGCATGAGTGTGGTTGGAAACCAGCTCTGAGGGTTGAAAACTTTGGTTTATAGTGTTTTGTGGTTACTGTAGTATATATTATCCTTCCCCCTCCAAGAGATTGGAAGAGAGGGCCACAGTCAGCTCTCACAAGCTACTCCCAGCTACTCCCATAGCCACTGGGGCCAAGCAAGTGAGGCTGGGAATGTGGAGGAAAAGCAGGAGAGAATTATCATATGCTGAGCGTCTCCTGAGTATGTTCTGAGCTGGGTGCTCTGCAGACATGATCTCATTTGATCTTTCTAATGACATTGTGAGTCAGCTAACTTCAAACTCAATTTCATATGAGGAGGCAGAGCCTCAGAAGAGTTAAGTAAACACTCACAAGGTGACACAGTAGCGGTGAAAGGACAGTGACTCTTGGAATTGAAAGCAGCAGAGAATAATGCTAATAAAAAGTTATAGGTAATGTTGTGGGGTGAATCTATTTTAACTTTACCCTGTCACTCTGACATGAAAAATCATTGATTTAAGAACTGGGAGGAGCTTTTTAATCTAGCTCAGCTTCTCACCAAGTAGATGAGGGATGCGAGCTAGAACAGTTTAATTTTAGCATAAAATGATTTTAATGTGAGAAAACATGCATGCTGCTCATACTGAAGAAGGTGTGCTGTTCTTGACGGGTAAAGAGCTGGAGAAGAGATGGTTTTACTCTTCCAGATCCATGCCCTTTGGGCAAAATTCAAGGGCACCAATGCCCTAGGTCTAGGGAAAACAGTAATTCCTGGATCCAGACTTTTGGACAAGCCCTTAGGAAACTATGCATCTTTTCCACTCTACCTGGTCTTTTCCATGGACTATGGGGACATGAATTAAAGCTCAAGGACAGGGACACTACTTGGGCATGCTGAGGCCTTCAAGTCTCTGGGCAGACTATTCTTTTAGGGCACACACTCCACGGTCTTCATCTAAGGAGGGACACTTTTTGTGTTTGTGTATGATAATACAGATTGAACCCAGGACTGTCACACTGAAGTATACCCCTGTCCCTTTAAAATTTTTAAAATCTGAGACAGGATTTCAGTGTCACTAAGTTGCCAAGGCTGGGTGCAATCTTGTGATCCTCCTGCCTTAACCACTGAGAGTTCTGGGATTATAGGAATGTTCTACCCCAGAGGGCCATGGTTAGGCTTTGTCTATAAGGCAGACACTGAGTGAGGACATTTCAAACCCACTGTCCATCCATATCTGATGATATGATTAATCAGGACCTGGTTATATGGGGTGGTGTTTACTAGGGGCAGGGTGCTATGTCTCAGGCTGCAGACATACTTTCCTGCTCACACCTGGGACCAAGGGCAGTGGGCTCTCTTGCTCTATCTGTGGCTCATGTGCAAGTTCACTAAGGTAAGGGATGCTTCTTCAACATTGGGCCACTGCAGTCTTTTCTCCATTCCAGACAGTTAGGTGGTTGGATGAGTAAATTTCAGAATCACTTGTCAAAACTGGAGCATTATACTGGAGGCATAAAATAGGGCCCAATGGAGTGAATAGAATTTGTTAATTTTCTACCATACTGCCTTCTGGGGGTGTTGTATATCCTATAAAACATGCTGTTGTGTTATATAAGGCTCATGCACTCACTCATTCATTCTGTTTATGCATTATCAACAAGTACTTTTGTGCCAGGAATCTGCTGGACTCTTGAAGACATAGAACCTTTTACTCTCTCTTGCATGCTCCACAGGCCCTGATTTGTAGCTGGTCATCCACAGTTATGGTCTGTCTTGGGATTTAGCTTCTGGGTTCCTTTGGAGTTAATATAGACCTGCTAGGGTTTTCAGATACACAGTTGCAGGCTCTGCAGCTCTGGGGCCTGACCACATGGACTTTGCTCCTCAACCACTGCAGATGTTAGACTGAACTATGAATCTCTCGGATTTCAAAAGATTCCAGCTTAATGACCCAGCTCTGGCTCGTGTCTATAAAAGTCATGGAACCTTAGCTAAGCCAGTCAGCACAGCTGGCTGACAGATCCACAGAGAAATGGGGTGTCAGAGCTGCAGGGAGGACAGAGAACAGCTGCTTCTGCTGTGGGAATCCCAAGGGTCTGAGCCAGTACAGCAGGGAGGGGCCAGTACTCAGGCCTTAGTGATAGATGGATGATCCTCATTGTCCCCAGTGGCAGAACAGAGAGCTAGGACTTTGCTGTGTGGAGTCAGAGGTCATTTTCTTTTCCAATGAAAGGGCAACTTGTTCCAATGAAAAGAAAAGAATTGTCAGCATGTGAAGTTGTCAGCTTCCTGAGGTAGAATTGATCAGTAAGTGGCTGCCTGGGGCATCCTGCAGCTCAGGCTGAACTGAGGGATCTACAGACTTCAGTTCAAACTTTGGCTTGGCCACTTTGATTGTATAACTAACCTTGGATAAGCATATAATCTCTGAATCTTAGTTATCTTTTCTTTATAATGGGGATCAGGAGAATCATCCTAATGGGGCTGTCGTGAAGACTTAAGGGTGTTTTTTTTTTTTTTTTTTTTTGTACTGGGGATTGAAATCAGAACCTAGCACTTGTGAGGCAGGCAGTGGCACCACTGAGCTAAATCCCTGGCCCCTTAAGTGGTATTTTTTTGTCTCACTGAATTTTTTGGTACTTTTTAGGTATACAGTATAATTGCATTCATCATTGGTATCTTGTACCTTTATATGACAGGTCTAGGTCTTGGTTCTCATTTTTTCCCTATACCCTGCCCTCCCTTCACCCCCTCCTCCCTTCCCTATTTACAAAAATTTTGTTTTCGTTTCCTCATTTTTTCTTTTTCCTTATTTCCTTTCCCCTACCCTTCCCACTTCTCCTACACCTTTAGCCCTTTTCTTCCTATTTCACATTGTCAATATACCATTTGGGTCTTATTTACACTTTAAATTTTTCACAACAGAAAAACTATTTGATATTTACACATGTCTTATTTATTTCATTTAAGAGTATGGCCTCAATATGCATCCATTTTGCTATGAATGACTCTAGTTTCTCATTTTTTATGTCTCAGTAGTACTCCATTTTATAGAAAAGCCACATCATCTTTATCCAGTCTCCAACTGATGGGCAATTGGGCTGTTTCTAAGTTTTAGCTATTACACACTGTGCCACTGTAAATATGGGTGAGCATATATCACTGTGGTATGATTCCTTTAATTCTTTTGGAAAGATACCCAGTAGAGGGATATCTGGGTCAAATGGAACCTCCAGTCCAAGCTCTTTGAGGTATCTCCATATTGATTTCCACAGTGGCTGCACCAGTCTGCATTCCTACCAACAATGGAGAAGAGTTCCTTTCTCCCCACAACCCTGCCAACATTTGTTATTGATTGATTTCTTGATAGCAGCCATTCTTTGTGGGGTGAGGTGGAATCTCAGTGTTGTTTTCATCTGCACCTCTTGAATGACCAGTGATGTGGAACATTTTTTCATATATTTACTTGCTGCTTTTACTTCTTTGTCTGGAAAAATGTCTGTTCATTTGGTTCATGGATTCAGTTCATAATCAGTTGGATCCATTGTGTTTAGGCTTTTGGTGAGGCAGAGACATTACGGTAGAAAATGTGACAGAGGAGATATATTACCTCATTGGTGGCAGGAAGGTAAGGTAGGGATGGAGAGAGAGAGAGAGAGAGAGAGAGAGAGAGAGAGAGGGAGAGAGAAAAAAAAAGAGAGAGGGAGGGAGGGAGGGAGGCAAAGGAAGGAGAAGTAGAAGGAGGAGAAGAAAGGAAGGTGAAGAAGAAGAGGAAGAGAAAGGGGAAAAAGGAGAAGAAAAGAGAAGAGAAAAAGAGAAAAGAACAGAAGAGAGTGAACGAGTAAGGTGCCAGAGATAAGATGTAGTCCACTACATCACATCCCCATAACTCATTCCTTTCAGTCATGCCCGACCCCCCAATAGCCCATTCAGCTATGAACTCATCAGTAGGTTAACCCCATGTAACAAGGTGTAACCCAAGAATGAGGTCGGCACCTTTGTGATCTGATCACTTCCCCAAAGCCCCACCTCTTAATGTTGTTGCATTGGGAAAGAAGCCTTTGAGGCGTTGAACTTTTGAGGGGACATTTACAACCCAAACCATATGGCTCGCATAAGCCAGTCCTCCTGACATTCACGCCCTTGGATGCTGCCTAGCGCAAACCAACAGAAGGCAGGGGGAGAGATTTCGTGTGATTTCCAAGGCTAGGTTACCAAGAACTGAAGCTCTGCATCTTCTCCTGGGCTTTTTGGAAAGCTTGCTTTTGAGATGTCCCTTCTCATAACCGAGCTACCATGATCACATGAAGAGGTCGATAACCCCAGTTAAACTTTGAGGCAATATCCAGTCTCAACAGCCAGCCGTGTGAGCATGCCATCTTCGATGTCCAGTCCAGCTGAGCCTGAGATGCTTCCAGCCCCTAAGACTGACTGTCATCCACTAGAGACCACAAGTGAGAGCTGTGCTTGCCCACCCCTTTATCAGTCAGTCACTGGTCCCACAAGGATGGTGATGTAATCTCCCCATGTCTCTGAGTAAAGCAGCTCCTGTCAGCCATAGATAACTCTTTCCAGATTTAGGATTTTCAGTCTTGAACCTGAAGAGTCCTGGGAAAACTGGAGTGAGCTGTCTACACTATCTGATATTGAAGGGGGCCTAAATGGGGCACCAACACTATTTACTATATTGAATGGGGGTCTTGATGTGTGAAAACTCCCCCAGTAATGGAGATGCAGTGATTACTGGTGAACAGACATGGTCCTTGTCCTTAGGGATCTACAGCCTACCTGACAAGACCTACAAACATGGCCATAACCGAACTGAATGGAAGGAAGCTCTGGGGGCCCCGGAGATTCAGGAAAGGGGCATTTACCCATTATGCTGGGTAGAGTTTGGGGGCCACAGAACTTTTCCAGAGGAAGATACCCAATAAGGATCCAAAAACTCCAAGGGACTTAGCCAGCTGGAGAAATTGAAAGAGGAAAGGAAGAGTTATATTCTAATCTGGATACAGAAGTAAAAGACAGAAACTCCAAATAAGAAAAAATAGGGAATGTCCAAGCATGGACTCGGAGGTGCTTTATATATTTGCTACCTAACATTGAGAAAAAAATTATCCAACACTGACTCAAAACAACAAATATTTATTATCTTTCGATTTCTGAGGGTGGTCAGGATTTAGGAGCAGCTTAGCTGGTGGCCTGGCTCATGGTCTCCCTAAAGATTTGGGTAAGACATAGACTTTGTGGCATCTGAAGGCTTGGTTAGAGCTGGAGGTTCTATTTTGGAGATGGCTCAGTCACATGGCTATGGATAAGGCACTGGCTTGTAGCAGTGAGGTTTTGGCTTTTTACCAAATGGGTCCTTCTATACGACTGCTTGCGTGTTCTTTGATATGGCAGCTGACTTACCCCAGAGCTAGTTATCTGAGAGAGAGAGAGAGAGAGAGAGAGAGAGAGGGAGGGAGGGAGGAGGAGGGGAGAGGGAGAGGGAGAGGGAGATCAGAACAGAAGCAGTAAAGCCTTTGGGAACCGCTCTCAAAAGTTTCACTCTGTAATTTCCAGCCTTTTTTGTTCATATGAAACATGTTACTAAATGTAGCCCATACATAGGGAAGGGGAATCAGGTTCCACCAGTTGAAGGGAAGACTGTCAAATAATTTGTGGGCATATTTTAAGGGAGAGGGAGAGGGAGAGGGAGATCAGAACAGAAGCAGTAAAGCCTTTGGGAACCGCTCTCAAAAGTTTCACTCTGTAATTTCCAGCCTTTTTTGTTCATTAGAAACATGTTACTAAATGTAGCCCATACATAGGGAAGGGGAATCAGGTTCCACCAGTTGAAGGGAAGACTGTCAAATAATTTGTGGGCATATTTTAAGTTCATCATATCTTAGATTTGACTGGACCCAGAGACAAAATGAGGTGTCATTTTCTCTCTCCCTTCCTCTCTCTGTTCTGATTCATTTTCTGTTTTAGCTTCCAGAGCCAACAGATCTCTTTACATTGGCACAAAGAAGAGAGAGTGACTTCTGGACTCCTGGCTCCCTGAGCAAAGGTTAAGACCCAATCTTCTTTATTCAGTGAAATCACAAGGAAAGGCCCTGATTGGCCTCATTTGGATCACATGGTCATGCCTATATCAATGTTTATTTTTTATTTTATTTTTTCCGCCAAGGGAAAGTAGTTCTCTGATTGGCTGAATCTGGCTCACATGGCCACTCTTACATCAGGAAAGAATAAACATTGCTCATTGGTTCCTCTGGAGTAACATGATAATGCTGAGGGAAAAGGATCCCACCCCACCACAGACTATGATTTCTCTTATATGTGATGGAGGCGAGGGACAATTCCTGTATAGGTGACAGGTAAAGAGTGTAATGCTTCCAGGATAGCCAGCTTGGGAGAATTTGAACGTGTTTTGTCTGAAGGAGCTGGAGGCAGCAGTCAGAGACAGGCTAAAGAGGAGCCTTGTGATTATGGAAACCTCCCACCCCCCAACCAAGTGTATTAGTCAGCTTTCTTGTTGCTGGGACAAAATATCTGACATCTGTACATATTAAAGGAGGGGAGGTTCCTTGGGCTCACAGTTTCAGAGGTTTCAGTCCATGGACAGCTGACTCAACAGCACAAATATTGTAGTGAAAGGACGTGGTGGAGAAAAGCTGCTCAACGCCTGGTGGGTGTCTGTGATCAGGGAAAGAGCCCAGAGAGGAAGGAGTCAGGGACCAGACATAGCTCTCAAGGTCAGGTCCCCATGACCCATCCAGACACGATTTAATAATCTCCTAGCCATCTCTCAAGTCAACCAAGTTGACAAGCAAGAATAATTGTCACACCTAGGGACCAGTATCTGTCTTGAAACAAGTGATGTTAGAACAAGGCCTTGGTGTGATCATCTCTATTTGTATCTAATTTAGGCAATAATTTAGAGGTTGGATTGGAGGAGGCTGATTGGAAACAATGCTGGCTCAGAAACTGTTTCAATGATACAGCTGAAAAAAACTTTTAGTAAGAATTTTAGATGCCATTGTAGTAGAATTTTAGTTATTTTTGTTGGGTTTCTGGAAGAAGATTCTGGGTGGGAGAAATTTTTAGGCCTCTTTGTCAAGTTTTTCTCAGAAATACATGCTCTTGTTTGGCCCATTCCGGGTTCCTCATTGAGTCAGTCAGTGTTTATGAGGCCTAGATATGGCAATAGTTAAGCCAAAAAACTGAATTTCTAATGATAAAATAGCAAATATTGTGGCAGGTAAATAGGGAAAACATTTTTTGGGTAAAAAAGATAATTACCTCCTGTTCCATGATAATTAAATGTGAAGAATCTCCGCTTTTTGCATCTTTTCAAATTTTATCCTCAGAGTGCTTGCTGTTATGCCATCGTACATGAGCACTGAGGGCCTGGCTGTTTGAATGCACAGGGTTTGACACCTGTCACACCAGGGGCAGCAGCAGCAGCAGGGATAGCAATTTAAAATTGTAGGCATTGTTCCAGGTGCTCTGCACATATTACCTCATTGAGTCTCACAACAGCTCCAAAAGATGAGTACAGTTATTATTCCTGTTTGTGCAGCTTAGAAAGCTTAGGCTTAAAGAAGTCAAGCATCCTGGCTCTCAAGTGCAAGGACCGGAGTTGGATCCCCAGTATCAAAAACAAACAAACACACAAACAAACAAAAAAAGAAGTCAAGCAAACTATTCCAAGTCACATACTAGGAAGTGATGGTTTTGAACCCGGGCAGTGTGACTCCTGCCGTGTGGCTGTACCTGCTCTGCCGTGCTTTCTCAGTAAGCACCAGAAGGTAAGGGCAAAAGCACCAGCCTTGGGCACACACTTGCCAGTGTGGGAGGGATGGGGCATTTCCATGTGCTCCATGGAGCTAGCAGATGGCTACTGTTGTGAGCGTTTTCCTCAGGGACATCATATTCTCTATGAATCCCCAGACAGGGCCAGGATTTCAGTATCTCATTCCACCGGGCACATCTTATAAGAAGC